TTAGAGGCCAAAGGTATCAAAGAATGATAAAAATGTGCCTCGTCGTGCATCTTCACAAGAAAAATACCCCTACGTTTTATTGGGGCTTTTTTTCTTTGTTTTTTTTTGGTTTTTGTTGGATGTGGCGCCCACACGGGTCTTGAATTCATGACTCTGAGACCATGACCTGAGCCAAGATCAAGAGTCAGACCCTTAACGGACTGAGCCACCCACGTGCCCCCCCTCAAACCTCTATGTTTTAAATGATAGAAGTTATAACAAGTTGCTTTATGAGCTTAAAGATGCTTAAAAGTTCTCCTAAATCTCTCTTAGAGGCAGCAGAAAAACATCTACAGACTGCCTCTTCATCTTGAATTTTAATTTAATTACGCTCATTCAAGACCCCTTGTCAGTGTGGTTCATTCCCTTTGAGTTTTGCTTGCTAGTCACTGGTTGCAGAAATATTTCTGTCTCCCTTTTTTTTTTTTTTTCATTCACGGTAGGGAGCCCTCGAGGCTCGATAGGTAGTGGCTTAAACTCATACTCTAGGGACGATTCCAGAATGTCTTCTCCTTGGAAAAGCACAGTCAGAGGGCCCAACATTTACCTTACCAGTAAACAGGAAGACGTATTCCAGAAGGGCACGGAGCACGGGGAGGAAGCGCAGCCCATCTGCCGGGGGGACTGCCAGGGCACCTTATGCATTAAAATGGTTTAATCATTCATGAGTTCGTGCAGTGCTTGGCAGCACGTGGAGGCCCCTCGGCCCCACTGACCCTGAGCTCCCTGGACTCTCCAGACTCTCCAAGTGCCAAACTTGTCTATGGGCTGAGCTCCACCCGGCCGTAGGGACCTGGGGGTCTCTCTTAGGTCTGCTGTGTTACTGATAACATAGGCGGCCTCTACGTTATGTAACAAGAATACTTTGACCTAATGGAAAACCGCATCTGAGAAGGAAAGTAGCTTTTGACTCTTCCAGATTCGAAGACATCCGCTCTTAATATAAGCCTCATTTATTAAATAATGAAATGGGGCCCCTGTCCGTGCACTCCCGGTAGTCGGCGGCGGAAGAGCTGCAAGGTTAGGCCTGAGCCAGAGCGTTCGGGGGTGGAGAAGCGCCGGAGTCTCAGCTCATGTTCTATATTTAATCGCTTCAATTCAGTATTGTACTGAGTTCAACATTTTTCTAAGTGGTGGAGGGATGGAGTTGCAAAATATTTATGAGTAGAATCCCCACATTGAGCGAGAGCCTAGCGTCTCCTAGACATGATAGTTGCCTAAGCAGTTCCAGCTCCGTGAAGATGGAGCAGGGGAGGGGTTTAGGAGTCCAGGGAGGGCACAGCCAGTTGCCGTGAGCCCCGGTTGGCTCAGAAACATCATCCGAAGGCCCGACCGAAGTACAGTGAACACAAACACGGGGAGACCCGCTATTTCATGGAACCGACTGGGCAGGTGGACGTGGGCCATTCAGGGAGACCAATGACGAAGGACGGGAGGATGCGTCCTGCCACAGCTGGCCTTTCTCAAGGGGATAGAGGAGGAATCTTGCCAGGTCCCTCGGCTGGGCTCCAGGCCGGGAGGTAGACGGCTTCAATGAAGCCAGTCATCTGCCATGAGCCCTTCGTTAGGTGGAGCAGCCCCTGGTGCCCTCGGCTTCTGCAGGCTGGTAGGATTCACCGTAACAGGCCCAGGAGCGCAGCACTGGACAGGCCTCCCGAGTCCTCCCTGACACGTGCAGATGCAGAAGGTGGTCGAACAGACACAAACGTCTGCAGACGCCGCCCCCACCGCCCCCTCGGGTTCCATGAGCGAGAGGCCACCTGCCCGGCCGCAGAAGGAGCCTGCCCCCCGCTGCCACCGCCGCGCCGCACTGCGCAGGGCCGCCCTGGCCTCCCGCTCTCCCGTCCAGCCTCCTCCTCTCGGCCCCGCAGTTGTTTCTCTGAGCTTGTCCAGCCCCGTGGATGCCCCCAGAGTGTCCAGACCTCACTGACGTCCTTCCTTCCTTCTGACCGCTTCACACTGTGCTCGTCCTTTTCAAAGGACACGTATGACCTGCACCCAGTGCTGGACTCCGAGGCTACGTCTTCTGTTTTTTTTTTTTTTCCTTTTTCCAGCCACATCACTAATTGAGCCAAAACCCCCAAAACCTTTTTCACCTTTAAATGAGTGAGGCCGACACCGCCCCCATCCTGAGTTTGTGTTGTTTTTTTTTTTTTAAGTGTATTTTAACTTAGGGGACTTGACGTTTATGTCTGTTAGATTGCAATTTTGAGACCAGCGTGTCATGACTTTATTAGGATACGTTCACGCTCTGAGCCTCTGAAGATCATCAGCCCATTGCCCATGTTGTCCTCCTAGCCAGAGGGGACACCGCATTTCCACGGACACCCTCCTCGGTGGGGGGCAGTCCCTCTCTCCTGCATGGCCAGCACCCACTTTGCATTTGTTCACAGAGGTGGGAATGCTGAAGGGAGCCTGCTGGAGGGTCTCTCTCCCCTCCCTCCGCCCCTCCTCCTGCTGTCTCTCAGATATGTAAATAAATCCTTAAAAGAGAGGAAAACAAAAAGATAGCTTCTTGGCCAGATTTAGAGAACTTTCTCCTATGCTTGGCCCTGGCGCACCTGTGGCAGACCGTGTGGCCCTCCATGACGTCCCCGGGGCCCCTGGCCACTCCCCGTCGTCCTTTCCCCCTTGGTCCCTACAGACCTTTCCTATGCTAATGTGCCCTGGCATATGTCCCCAGAGTGCTAGCAAGCTTCCAGCCCTGGAACACCGTGCGTGCGTGTGCCACCCGACTCCTACCTGGAAAGGTGGGTGGCGTCTGCTCCCAGGGACACGTGTGGCTCCCCGCCCTGGCCCCAGCGGTCGGCGGCGCTCTCCGTGCTCCTGCCCCCAGAGACCTGCTGTGTGAGCAGCGTCCTGAGCTCCGTCTATGAGCCGGGCCCCTCCCCTCAGGCGGTGCCTGGGGTCCACGGGGTCTCAGGGTCGCTCCTACTCAGCTCTCGCGCCACTGGAGCCTCCTGTGTGTACTTTGGTTCTGTTGCAATTCTTGAAGAAATTGCCACATGGCATAAGAGCACTGAGAAAGTCACGTTATGGCTGGTGGCACGTCTGGGTGGAGGGCGCCCCTGATACTTAAGATGACACCCATGCTGTGCTTCTCACCAGGCCGCCCTCGCCTCCTTCCTTCCTGACGCAGCTTCGCCCCCACGGCAGGTGGCCACGCGTCACCCGGAGGGTCACCCCGATGCTTTCCCGCCCTCCCTGCCCTCTCATCAGGAAGGGCCCACCCGGTCGCCAGCACCACATGCCGCAGAGCAGGCCACCAGGTCACAGCAATATCCGTCTTCCTTGGCACTGGGAGCCCTGGTTTCTGGCACGTGTACTTTTGAGAACGCGAGGGTCAGTTCCCTCTATGTCCCCGCACTTCTCCAGCCACAGGGGCACAGGCCTAGAGCTTGGTCGCAGTGCACAGGCTGACGCACCCGCCACACCAGCGGTCAGGCCTAGAATGCCCCAATCTCAGACGGGGGTCGGGGGAGCAGCTGGATGATTAGACGTGATCCCAGGTGAAGGAGTTCCGAGTCGTGGAAACTTGACTTCCGTGCTTCCAGACCATTCTAGCACCGAGCCCAGCCTAGGGAATGTGCTTCCACCTGAAAGCGAGTCAAGTGCGGTGTGCCTGGCACAGGGTCCGTGTCGCAGACGTCACTGGGGGGGGAGGGGGCCCTCCATGGACGGCTCTGTAGGGAATGTGCTCCCACCTGCCCCGTCCAGTCCCCGTGCTCCTGGGTTTATCACCGAGTCCTCACCACACCCCTGGCGGGTCAGTGCCCCCTTGACGGACGTGAAAACCGAGGCACAGGGGAAGTGGGTGACCTGCCCCCCGAGATCTCAGCGCGTGGGAGGAGTGCAGCCGACCCCCCGGCCACGAGCGCCCACTGCAGATTCTGGGCTGTCCACCCATGATCAAAGGGCTGGACAGAATGAACCTGGAGTGTCACTAACGGGGCAGATTGTTTAAAACCGTGGTCTCAGACGTGACTGTGCATCCGAATCCCCCGGAGGGCTCGTGAAAACACAGAGTCCAGCCTGTCGGGGGCACACCGGAGAATTGGCCCTCCCGCAAGTTCTCAGTTGATGCTGATGCTGCAGGTTCGAGGACCAAGCCTGGGGACCCACTGGTTCAAAATGTCGATGCGAGATTCCGCAGTCACCATTGCCGAGCATGTCACTGTTTCTTGCACTTGGCAAAATTTACCTGCCCACCCCCTTAACCTATGGAGGCCGTGATGGGAGCGATGGTTTTGGGGTCGCCGCAGTCTCTCCTCCGTATGATAGTGTGGGACCCATCGGTGCACCCCCGGGCTGTGCTTCTGAAGGATGCACACGCAGTGTCTCTGATTTGCTTTACCTACAAAAATACGTGAATGGCAGAGATAACTGCCCTCGATGTGACTTAAAGGGACAGGAACGCAGACTGAGCCGGGGACCCGAGTGCTCCTGAGCAGCAGCCCTCGGCCTCCCCCCGGCTGGGGCTGCCCCCGCTCCGACGAGCTGGCGGGGTCGGTTACCTCCACAGGCCCTTCCACAAAGCCACCTAAGACGTCGCGGCTCTGCCCCGGGCACAGGGTGTGTGGCCCCGGGGGCTAAAAACGGGAGCGTGACCGTGAGCCAGGCAGCACACGGAAGTCCTGCGGAAGTCCTTGGGGCACCGGTGGCCGGAATTGGGAGCGGGTGCCCGCAGAGCTTTGCCCAGAGTGCGTTAACCCGGGCCACGGGCAACGGCCACCTCCGGGTGGGGGACGTTTCTCAGGCTTGACGACCTACCTGCGGGCCCGCCCGGCTCCCTGACACCTGCCCCCGGAGCCCGCGGGGTCCCCGCCCCAGCCCGGCTGCGGTCCCCGGGAACCTCCTCTGCTCTGACGCGCTGTCTTTTTGCTGCTGTGTTGTTCTGTGTTGTTTTGTTTTGTTGTTTTTTTTGCGATGACACTGAGTGGCACCTGTATTGTGTCTTTCAGCCAGTAATGTTAAAGTAGAGGCTCAGAGTGATGAAGAGAATGCGCGTGCCTGTGAGCTGAATGGGGAAGAATGTGCGGAGGATTTACGAGTGCTTGATGCTGCGGGAGAGAAAATGAATGGCTCCCACGGTGGCCAAGGCGGCAGAGCTTTGTCGGGAGCTGGAGGCATTCGACTTCCTAACGGCAAACTAAAGTGTGATGTCTGTGGGATAATTTGCATCGGCCCCAATGTGCTCATGGTCCACAAGAGAAGCCACACTGGTAAGGCCTGGTGCAGTTCCTCCCTTGGTGGCCTGGAGGGGTCCGCGGGTGTAGCCGGAGGATGCGCCCTGTCTCTCGGCGCCGGCTCCCGGTCTGTTCTCCTGGACCAGCAGCCGGGGGGGGGCCTTCTCAACCCGCGCCGAGCCGACACCCTAGAGCGGGGAGGCTGGGGGCGCTAAGAACCTCCGGGGACCCGCCGAGGGCCCCTGTGCCACGCGGCTCCCCGCTGCCCCACGACCAACAGACCTAACAGAGAGCGAGCCGCGGAAGGCGCCTCCTCCGGGGGGTCCCCCGGGAATTCATGAGTGAAATGTGCCTTTCGGAAAACCGGGGTCACAGAGCTGGGGTTTCAGCAGCGTGAGCGGGCACCGGAAGGCGGCGGGCGCAGCGTTCCACGGAGCCAGGGGCAGTTGTCCCCGGGCCAGCCTCGGAGCGACTGCGGCTGCCGCCCGTTTCCGTCGCAGACGGGGACGGAATTTCCCAGCAGGGCCTCTGTGTCTGTCGGAGGCTCTGGAAGCATCAGAGAAGGCGGTATTCGTGTCCAGACAGGAAGGAAGGAGGACAGCGTGGGGCCCCGGCCGTGCCGCGGCTCACCAGGTGCCCTCACCCCGGGGTCGCCCACCAGGTGCCCGGGCGCAGCCAGCCACCAGCCCCCACTCTCCCGCCAGGACCAGGGAGTCCCCTCGGACGGCCCCAGACGGCCTTCGAGGTATCAGAGGGCCACATAGCGTCCTTAACTGTGTGCAGGAGCATCCTCAACGGCAGAGGAACTTGACTCTCTGCACGACAGAGTCACCTCCCCTAGTGGTCACTGCAGGGTGAAACCCGAAAGGCGGAAACCCGAGGCTTGGCTGCCCGCCGGGGGCTGGCGCTGGGGGGCTGGGGGCCGTCCTGGAGCCAGCACCTGCCGCCGCCCTCCGCAGGGGGCGGAGGAGAAACAAAATGTGATAGGTGACTGGGATTATTGGCTCTGGAGGCACAGCAGGGTCGTAAGATGACTTAGGGGAACAGGAAGGAGACCTGGAAATCGCAGCCTTGCGTGATCCCCACCCTCCCCCCGCCCCCCGGGCCAAACAAATCCACGACCATCAGAAATTTAGCAGGAATTCAGAAAAATCATTGAGGAAATCCGCTGGCTTGTCAGCACACGCAGGTCTCTCTCCCTGGAGCTGTGATTTTTTTTCTTCCCCCCGCCCCCCGCCCCCCCGCATCTGAACCGGGGCGGCCTCCAACGTGGTGCCTGCCGTGTGCGAGCGACGCGCCTGGAGAGGCCCCAGGTCTGTTTAAGTCAACGCGCGTCTTCGACAAAGACGTAACTTCTCCAATTAAGCAGACTTGGCTTTCCCTAATGGGCCCCCTTCATCCTCAGATTATCCTGTGCACTAGAGCCCTGACCTCAAGCCCTAAGTAAAGCTCGCGTGAGGGTAGGAGGGTAGGAGGGTAGGAGGGTAGGAGGGCTCTCCCCTTTGGTAATGACTCAGAAATTAAAGCGAAGGTAAGTTACCTGCTGACAGACGCTTAACAGAATCGGCCGGGCCCCGCGTTAATACATCCCTGACGGAGCACTAGAGCTCACAAGCGAATTACTTTCCTGCTAATTCATGTAAAGCCTGCCTATACTGTGAAAATTCGCTTAAATAAATATTTGATAAATGAATCAAATTCTGGCATGGTAAATTGCCAAAATATAATGACTGCCTGCCCCGATAAAAAGAATAATTGCATTTAATGAATAGACCTGCCAAGGACAGATATGCAGAGCAGCACCGGCTGTTTGCGGCCCACTTCTCCCCACAACCAGCGGCCAAGAGCCAGGCACACAGCATCACGCCGATTCCTTCACTCACAGGACAAGTACATTCCGGAATAGGGACATGCAGACCGTCAGGTTTATGGTTCCCGGCCTGGCTTTTATTAAAAAAAAAAAAAAAAAAAAAAAAAAGCAAAGCCCTGCAACAGTAAACGGGGGGGATGGCCTTCAGGCTGTGCTCCCCCTCGCACGACTGGGGAGGGTCGCAGGGGGATCCAGGAGCACATCGGCCAAGCAAGGTCTCCACGAGTAGACGATGCCAGGACGGGTCCCATTTCCTTGGGATGCGAGTGGAATATGCTAGAAAAGCCACGCTCTGCTGACTGTCACTCCCACCCCGACCTTACCAAGTTTCCAGTGTTTCTAGAGCGCTGCTCCTCAAACCGGAGGCCCCCCGGGGTTCCCTCGGGACACCCTCCAGCTCCCAGGGCCAGTCTCCCCACCTGGGCAGGGGCCGCGGGCGCCGCTTGCTGAACTTCCATCCCCAGCTCTGCTGCTCAGTTTCTTTCTTTCTTTCTTTTCTTCTTCTTCTTCTTCTTCTTCTTCTTCTTCTTCTTCTTCTTCTTCTTCTTCTTCTTCCTCTTCTTTTTAACTCAAGTGTGATAGCACTGCCTTCCCCGCCAGCCACCACTTCGGGGCTGGTGTGAGCCTCACAGGGGACGGGGTAGGAGGCAGGCCGGGCCGGGGAAACCCCGCCTGCAAATGTGCCGCGGTGTCGACCTGGAGGATGGGACTTTGAACGGTCGACAACAACAGTGTCTGAATGGTGGTAACTGTGTGCGGGCTCCTCTGCAGGGCAGGAAGGCACAGGGTCCAGGACCAGCGTCCAAGGACAGTCTGCTCCCGGGTCTGGCTGCAGCGGGCCCGCGCTCACCCCCGGCTCAGGGATGCATTTTGTGACCTACCTTCTGATAGACCCTCCTAAATTTTCTGATGGAGGCATCATGAAGCCCTGTTCGTTTTCTTTCCACTGGAGTTAGAGGGGCTCCGACGTGCCTGCAGAGAGGCCCTCCAGGGGCACATCCGTACAGCCCCCGAGAGTAAAACCTCAATTTTGAGTCAGTGATGATAACGTCTGCGTCCCGCCGGGTATAAGAAGCGCAGCCACGGATCGCCCGGCGTCCCTTAGCCCGGGGTCTAGCCCGGCGAGGGAAGCCGCCTAGAGCTGAGCCCCGGGTTGTCCCTTCGGGGCTCACTGGCCTCGGCAGCCTCCGCGTCCTCGTGTCACACCTTCTGCCGGCGCAGGCAGTCAGCGACGGATGCCAGCAAAGCTTGCCGGCAGGAGTGAGACGCCAGGCACAGCCGGGGGCACGAGGACGCTTGACGCAAACTAGAGACAGATTTCACTGTGCAAGCAACGGCTGCCTTTCCTTCCTTCCCGCCCTGTCCTGCGGGAGGGGCGCACGGCCTTCCCGCTCCGTCCCCCAGGTCCGCTGCAGCTCAGGGACGACCCGGCCTCCACGGCGGGGTCCGACCTGTCCCCCTGCCCCAGCCTGCAGATCTGCAGCACCTCGTCAGCATAGGAGGGCAGACCTCACACAGCCAGCTGAGCTGGCTTTGGGTCATCCGTGTCCCTCACTAGGTGCATTTTGTGGGGCATCAGCTCTCCCGGCTGCCTGCCCCGCAACATCCAGCCGCAGGTCCTCTCTGTCGGGATCCCTGCGCCCGGGGACCAATTTCTTCTCTTTCCCTTGCATCTACTTGGAGCTAAAATATTCACATCCACGCACGAGTGTGACGGAGGCCCAGAAGCGTTTCTAATAGATGATGATCTGTCTCTGCTGGAGGTTCCTGGGGGCCGCCCGGCCGCGAGCTCTTTGACTCTCCTGATCCAGTACTGACCTGCGACCCAGGGATTCAGTTCCAGCTCATTAGCTTTGCTGTCACCTTCCCACCGAGCCGACTCCTTGCGCAGCCAAGTCCAACCCAGAATGCAGATTCGGCAAGACACCGAGGTGCCGGGATCCCTCCCGCGGGCCTCTAATTAAATTTCATTTTAAAGTAGTTTCAGATTTTACGGCCGCACACCTGTCGGCCCCACTGAACAACAGGAGCGAGGACAACCACGACACCCAGGGGCCCGTGTAAACTTTTCCATTTAAGCCGGTGTCGGTTTTAACAGCACCCGACGCGCTTCTACCGCTTGCGTCTGGCGAGTGCCACCTCATCCACCAAAACCACATGAAGCAATCGGGAAAATCGTTAAATATACATTTTCACACATTCTTTCTTCCTAAGAAAAACCCATTACCAGGAAGCATGTGTGTATGTGTATGTGTGTGTGTGTTTTCATGGTATCTCAACAGCAGATACCGCGGGCACATAGAGCTCTTCTAAAAAAAAAAAAAGAGAGAGAGAGAGAGAGAGAAAGAAAAAGAAAGAAAGAAAGCGGGCACCTGTTGTTTTCCAAAGAGCTTGAGCGTGTGCTTAAAGCTGGCAGGCGTCATGCTCTTCCCACATGAGGCCCAAGTGAGACGGTGGCTGACGGGGAGCCCGAGACCCAGCGTGCTCAGTGGCGCGTCCCTTTCCCGCAGATGCCTGCGTGTCCATCCCTTTGTGGGATCCAAGCCCGTGGGGACGGCGCTGCCACGCGCAGCCTGGGTTCCTCGCTGTCCCAGCCGCCGCTCCACCCCCGACGCCCCTCGAAGAATCCCTAATAACCACTGGGTCGCATCCCGTAGGCTATTTGCACTGAACACACAGCTGCTCTGGGGGTGTCAGCCAGCGGCAGCTCAGTGGCTCCGGGATTGAGAGGAGACGAGGAAGCAGAGGCCTGGGTGCGCGGAGGCTCGGACGCCCTGCCCCCGGGGACCCGGGCCTCTCCGTGGACCATGTGGAGCATCCTTCACAGTTCCTTAACTTCTCATTTTATTCAATCTTCCTCCCTCTCTCTCTCTCTCTCTCTGAGCCTCACACTCTCTCTGTCTCCTTCCTGATTTGCCTGCGTAGGGACAGACAGGTAATGGAGAAGAAATTGAAAGGCAAAATACAGGAAAAATGTAAATGAAAAGAAGTTATTATAACTGTTATAATGAAGTGCCTTTCATTTAAATATAAGAATGTAACGCTGAAATGAACTTGTGATCCTGAAATGCATTTTTAATGAGTTTCCTTTTTATTTTGCTGCTTCAGTGGCATATTTTAAAGACCCTTTGAAAAAAGCCACATTAAAAACCCCACCAAATGCCACAACACGCAAAATTGGATATTGGTTTATTCCAAAACTGCTGATCAGGAAGACTGGCTCTTCATCACAAAATGTTGCAGTCACTTTATTTAAATGAGTTTGAATTTGCATTGTGATGTGCCATTCTGATTTAGGGGGAAAAAATTAGATTTTCAGATCAAATTGACCCAAGCAGCGAAGCGTTACGGAGCTGGCAGGTTGAGTCTGAAAGCGCCGTGTTCCATCAAACCTGCAGCCGGTGGGAGCCCGCGGGCCCCGTGGGCGCCCAGGCCCCCGCGCCCAGGCCCGGCCTCACCGCTGCCCTGTCCTCCTCCCAGGGGAGCGGCCCTTCCAGTGCAACCAGTGCGGCGCCTCCTTCACGCAGAAGGGCAACCTGCTCCGGCACATCAAGCTGCACTCCGGGGAGAAGCCCTTCAAGTGCCACCTCTGCAACTACGCGTGCCGCCGGCGGGACGCCCTCACCGGCCACCTGAGGACGCACTCTGGTAGGTCCTCGGGCGCAGGTGCCAGGCCGCCCCCAGCCCCCGGGTCGCGTGGGTGTGCACATGCGTGGGAGCACCCCCCCCACTGCCACCACCACCACCACCACCACCACCACCATGGGGGCCCGGCCCCGGGAGCGCGGGAGCAGTGCCCCCCCGGGACCGAGCTGTGACCCCCGCGGAACCCAGGACCCGGAGGAACAACATGCCCATGCACACGTCCCACTTTATGGAGGCTGTTTCCAAGGAGGCCTCCTATGCCCGGGGCATCAGGGGAGCAGGGCTCGTGCATGGGGTTTGGCTAGCTACCCACCCCCAGACAGTCCCCTGGTCCCCTTCTTGAGGTTGGTGGTTGAGCCCCATGCATTCCTGCTTTACACTGAGGAACCCAGGGTGGTTGCCATCCCAAGGCTGAGAGGTCCAGTGAGCAGGGCCTGCGGACGTCTGTCCCGACTGGGGACACCCGCCCGTTCCCCAGAGGCTCAGCTCCCCGTCTGGGCCTGAGCCTGACCCGTGCCACCAGCCAGTGAGGCCTCAGCCGAGGGGCCGCATTGTAGCAAACACATCCCAAACAGCCCAGAGTCTCTGAGCACGGTAACCCCAATGCCTGACCCGTCCCCCCGCACCCCAGCGTGCAAAGCATCTGCCCATCTTTGATCAGGTCCGACCTCCTGCCTCCTGAGGAATCTTCTACCAAGGGGCCCCACGGTCTTCCAGGCCAGTGGAGCAAAGCTCAGGTCACTCCGCCCAGCGGGGATACCTCACCCCGGCCCTCCCAGAGCTTGTCATCCAGACCGTGGGGTGGTCAGTGACTTCTCCGGGGCAGGGCCCTGTTGGGGAGGAAGAGGCTCCAACCAGCTCCCTCCCGACATCCCCAGAACCACACTCTTCCCCCCCGGAAGCGGGCGCCGCATCCCTGGGGAATACGTGCCTGGAATCGGGCTGTCTCCACCCCGATGTGATGAGTGTAGTTCATGGCCAGGATCTGGTGGCCTGTCCCTCGGTCACGGAGCAGGTAGTGAGCGCCCAGGGGCCCGGAAGGAAGTAGAGCACCAACGTGTCACCGGTGTGGTGACACAGTGTCTGAGGGGACGTGGGAGTGCAGGGAGGAGACTGTCAGCCTCCAGGGAGGCCTCAGGAGGGACTCCCCGTAGACGGAGTGGCTTGAGTCCACATGGAAAGGAGAGTGTCGAAGGTTTACCTTCAGAGAGGTTCCACCCGCGGGCGTAATTCCGTACAGGACCCTAGAAGGGGGCGGGGTACGCACCTTAGCCAGGTTGTGGCAAGTGTAGTCTTTCTCCTGGAGCGGTACCTGTAAGAGCTCGCCAAGAGCTGGGAGGGTGCTTGCAGCCTTCCCAGGTGCAGCCAAGCCATCTCCTCTCCATGCTCATCCCCTTCCCGGTCGTCAACACAGAGGAGGTTCCCAAAGTGCTCTTTAATTAGAGCACTGTGATGATGTGGGTGAGCTGCTTAACATCTCCCAAGAAAGGAGCTGTCCCAAGCTGCAAGTCAGCAGCGGGGTGACAGTGGGGCCGGTGCCTCCCACCTCCCCCCACAACCCAGGACGCGGCACATGCTGAAGGCTGGGGAGGGCTTTGCCGGAGGGGACAGGTTGAACAGATGGCTCCCCCAAAGTGGGAGGTTGACAATGAGCCTTTTTCATTGTTTACGTGTGTCAATAATGAGGAGCAAGTGTGTCGCCCCTAGAAATGAAGGTGTATGGGGAACTAGATGCTGGGCTTTGCAGGTGACCATTGCATGGGTGGTGTGCAGAGCCTGATCCAGGACAAAGGAACTTCTCATATAACCTTCATGCAGGTCGGGGGGACATGAGCACAGTTGCCAACAGCACTGCCTCGGGGTGGGCAGGAAGCCCCACTCCATGTAGGTGGAAAACATAAAAAAGACTCAGGCCTAGGTGGCACCAAGCTCATCACCATCATCCCCAGTTACTCCGATTTGCAACAGAAATCTCTCCTGCATGCCAGTCCTTAAAACTCAAAGGGATGCCACGCCTCTCTCTTTACCCTCATACCTACGGTGAAGCTTGGAGCAGCTAATGCAGTATTTTTGGTCATTCCAGCTCCCTGCCTGCCTATTTCCTTCAAGGCGTGACGGTATCCTGCTCCAGGCTTGGCCAGTGACTTGAGGGGTAGACTCTGGGCAGCTTATTTCTGTTTCGGATCCCCCGATGAGCAAGTAGATAACACCATTCCGTTGACCCAGGGCTGCCGCTGATCCTGGCAGCTGAGAGTGCCGCTGACACACGACTCTTCGAAAATACCCAAAGGGGGCCACTCCCCGATTCCACTAAAATCATCCTCAACCTCGTAGCTTCCCCTGGCAACTGGTGGTGGCCCGAGGTTCCAAAGACCAACATGTTAGTGGTGACGTAAGCATAGAATGTGCCCCACACTGACAACAGGAGGGCTCGGGGGGCCTGGCAGCGTAGGGACGGCATCTCCCTTCCCTCCTCACTGCTTGCTTTGGGACTTGTGAGCCGAGCTAGAGACTTTCTTTCCCTCAGAATACTGGGCTATGCTTCAGGGTATACTTTAATTCGGTTTCTTACTGTAAACATATTTCTTACGTTCCAGAATTAGAAGCCTATTCAGACTCTCTGCCCATATATACATGAATTTGCTGAAGTTATAGCTTTTCTAGGAAGGGACATCTATATTCTATTAATTTCTATTAATTTCTAAAGGTATTACTCAATAAAATGTACAATTTTAGGCAATATTATGTGTTTCAATGTTCACTTCCCTGATGTGAGTGATACAGCGCTTTCTATGGATAAAGATCCATCCCTTTCCTCCTCGGTTAAATATCCCAGAAGTCAAATTTTGCTTTTTGCTTTAGTCTTTTTAAACCATTGCTTCTGGTCACCTAAGAAAGAGATTGAGCCAGTACAAGCTTTGGTCAAACCTTTTTACCAAGCATTCCTATTTGGATGGTATTGATTTTTATACAATACGTTCAAATCTCTGAAATCTAACATAAGAAGGAAGTAAGAGAAGATTCTGGTCTTAGGATGGAAATTTATATTCCTCCTATAAATAATTAAAGATACTTATTTCATCTCTTAAATTGCTGTGTATTAAAGTCTTTGAGCTTAGGCACGATAGGAATTTATTTGTGCTGGTCTTCTTTCCCTAAAATACTGATCAATAAAGTTCTAGATGAACTAAACTCATCACATTAGAACTGCACTGCTTCATACGGTTGCCACCAGCCATATGTGGTATTTGAATTGTAAGTTTAATCAGTTGAACTTAAACAAAATCAAAATTTCAGTCCGCAGTGACTCTTTGAGTGTCCGGTGACACATAGGGCCGGTAGCCACCATATTGAACAACACGATGGCTGTCACAATGGGCAGCGCGGATGGAGAACTCTTCCATCTTCATAGTAAGTTCTGTTGGGCAGAGCCGATGGAGGAACCATGGGTTTCAGGGAGAACACAGAGCTTTTTCTAAGCTAGAATAAGGAAATACATTTTGGAAATAAATGCTCATTTCGTTGAGGTATATTTATCCACTGTTGTTTCTTAGAAACTTCAAATTATCCAGTTCGGTATCCTGGAATTTAATCCACTTTGGCTGCATTTAGATCTGTCCCACAGTGTAGATGTGGGCCAGAGTCTGACTTTAGAGGTGAATCTGTGTCTCATCCAGTCAACCCAGGGGCCTTCTTCCCATCTCTACCCAGTTGTTAGGCGCCCAACTCATCACACCGTAGTGGCCCATTTCCTCCAGTTAAAGAAATGATGAGGCCAAGAGAATTTGGTATGGGACTATGGGAAAATTCAGATGAAACAAGACTCACAGGAGTTCTTGGTACAAAGAAAACCCTGGGCATTAACATTTTTAAATTTAGCAATTTTGACTGAGTCTGTAAAGCTTTTAGCTCTTAAGAGTAGAAGGTTTTGTTTTTTGGGGGTTTTTTTGTTTTTTTTTTGTTTTTGTTTTTGCCTTTTTGATAATAATTGTATTGCATGAATTCCCATTACACATAAGGCCAATATTTAATTGGGGTCTTGAACTCAATTGTGTTTTCTGCAGTTGGTAAACCTCACAAATGTGGATATTGTGGCCGAAGCTATAAACAGCGAAGCTCTTTAGAGGAACATAAAGAGCGTTGCCACAACTACTTGCAAAGCATGGGTCTTCCAGGCACGATGTACCCAGGTAAGCGCTGGCTCTCCCTCCCCAGCACGTGGTGAAGAAGGGCCCCGGGCACACAGCTCTGGGTGCAGAATGCAGGCGTGCACGCCACCACCGCCCAGACAGACCGACTTTTTTTGGCCACTAACAGGGCAGTTTCACCCGAAGCATGCCGTGTTTCCCGACTTTTGAAGCCCTCATCTCACCAGAGAGAGAGCCTGACCTCAAACTCCTCCCCCTTGAAAGCTGGGGAAGCATTTAAGATATCAGCGGCCCCCTCAAACTTTGGAGGGGTTTCTTGGTTTTTTGGTAAATTTTTTTTAAGTCTGGCGTAATCAAAATAAGATGTGAAATCTTGTTTGAAAATAGTTTGAAAAACTATTTTTGCATGGAGTTGATCGAGTAAAAGCTTTCAGGCTGGGTTTCCATTCATCGGCTTTGGCACCTGCCTGGAACAGGTGAGCCCCTTGGAAAACCCTGACAGTCCAGAGGATTGCGGCTGTCACAGATTTTGAGGAAAGGCTGCTTTTTTTCTTATGAGCCTTGATGCTTGCGGCAACCCATCGCAAGGTGGCATTTGACTCCAATCTTAAATAATGTAAAGTGAAGGATGTAAACAGATGGCTGAATTTGCAGCAGACTGAATTTACTCAGAGGGATGGCGGTGGTATAAAAGGGGCGCCTCCCTAACTTTTGAAGACATAAGAAACGTATGAATAGATCAACTGAGGCTAACCTTTTTCAAAACACCATTTGCTTTCCATTGGTGGCACCAAGTTGTATCTCCAAATCTGTTTGTGACCGCGACCCTGGGTTCTCAAGTAAGAGTGATCATTCCTACTGCGGAGAAAGGAGAGAGCAGGGAGCGTAGACGCGCATGACGCACTCACGTGAACATGCAGTGTCAGCCACCCAGCTGTCTCCCCTGTAGGCTGGCTATGTCAGTGAGCTTATATGCCGCGATATATGTATTACCCCAGCACAAGAATCAACTTTCTGTCGAAATGCTCATCTTTCCCTTGGGTGATCAGATTATTCAGAATACCTCAATGATGTGTCCTTATGTTCCTGGCTCAGGAGATAAAGAAGGCTCCGTGTGTGCAGGGAAAGAACTGAGGGTGTAGAGGGAACACATTAAAGCACCTCAGTGGAAGTCCTACAAGCTGACACCTGGGATTCAGAGGGAAGGCAGCGGGCTGCTGGTGGGGGCAGGAGTATGGCCTCGGTCACTTGACTCTGCTGTGATAGGGCTGCTTTAACCTGTGCCTTCTCATTCCCCATCTTCCCTTCTCATGGCATCTGAGACCACCCCCTTGATGCTCAGATGGACACCCAGCCAGCTTCTCCCCTCTTCAGTCCCCTTAGGATGGGGCCATTCTTTGGGATGAGGTTAAAAACAAAGCCTAGCTTAGCTAAGATGTGGGAAAGTTTAATTTTTCTGAATTTAACTTTATTTAGCTAAAGCCTTTTTAGCCCTCTGTCGTAATTTCCTTTATGGAAAAAGTTTCTCTCGAGTGTGTAGAAGATGATCAATCAGGCACACACACTGTGTTTTAATCTTTTAAAGGGAAATGCATCAAAGGCAGGATAGCCACTGCTCTGGGAGCTTTGGACTCCGTTGTCCATCACTGTAATGACTCTGAGCATCTCCAGTCTCAGGAGGCCCTGTGGCCTGGTGGGGACGTAACCCCACCTGAAATGCTGCAGGTGCCCTTCGCAAAGAAGGAGGGACAAGTGAGGAAGCATATGAGCTCAACAGGTCAAATGTACAACCCCTGGAATTGGGCTGCAGGGAGCTAATGTGCACCCTTCATATAAATTAGGGTATAGGCTGTTATCTTTGCTCATTGAGTAGCAAACACACATTTCCAATGTTAAAAATTGTGTATAGCAACGACAGTAACCAATTTGAAATATGTGTTTTCAACATGGCCTTCATGATAAAGAGCGTTGCCACAACTACTTGCAAAGCATGAGTCTTCCAGGCACGATGTACCTGGATCATCCATCATGATAGCAGCAAAAACCTAAAACACTTGGAAATCATCTTAGCAGGCAATGCGCGGGGCATAATGAGGACAGCTGCCACACCATACAGGGGCTGGAAAACAAAGGTCGGAGGTGGAAGCAGAGGGCCTGACACTGCAGGCTTGTGTTTCCCAAATCAAGGCTGAGCATCCACATAAGATGTGTCTGTGAATCGTGCTGGAACACTGTGAAGGGTAGCTGGAAGAACGGAGGCAAGAACTGGCATTTTTAAAAAAGAAGGATAACATCTAGTGCCATCTTCATATGTAGCTAGTGTGCCACTCTTTGAAGGATAGACAAAAAGCAAGGATAGGAGTGGCCAAATCTCCAAGTCTTGTGATAAATCAGCGGGTCATATCTGAGACAGGAGGAGGAGGCATATGGCAATGGCAATGAGGTGGACCACTCAGAAATGGTGAGTGGAAGGACTGACTAGCTAGTTGGGGTGCAATTCATTGACATTTTCAGCTCCTCATGTGTGAGGATGTTGCAGGGACATTAGAGGGATCTCTTTCCAGACACCCAACTGTAAAAACCAGAACATGGATGGACTCTGCAGGATACAAAGTTGTCTCTCCCATCGTGGAAAGAAAGATAACATAGAGAAATACAGATTAGCTGGAAGTGCTCCCTTGGGCGGCGCTTAGCCCATCAGTGTCTAGCTGTTCTGCAGTTTCTGGGTGTCGATTTTGCTGAGTTTGCCACGTGTGTGGGGATCAGGAGCTCTGGCCTCTCCCTGTGTGTTGCCAGGATGCGCTGTAGCATTTCTGCATCTCCCTCCACTGTGCCCGCGCATGGTGTCAGGTCCTTAGGTCATTTCCGGCTCTGACAGCCTGATGTCAAGATCCATGGAAGTAGTGGATCACAGAGCCCTTGAGACATTAAGGGAACACATCACAGGGACATGAGGGCTTTGGCACATCCATCTTCTGGTGACAGGGGTGGCGCTTGCTCCTCCATCCATGGGATACGAGGTGCGGTCCGCAGGTGTCACGGGCAGGCAGCTGGCCCAGCTTCCAGGGAGGTTAGAAATGAGCCCCAGGAAGGGCCGGCTCCCGTAGGCACTGTACTAATGTCACATTGAACGCGGGATGCGACCCGATTCCTTCATGTAAGCGTTTCTAAACTGGCCTCTCTAACTGTCTTTGACTTTAGTCATTAAAGAAGAAGCTAATCACAGTGAGATGGGAGAAGATCTGTGCAAGATAGGATCAGAGAGATCCCTCGTGCTGGACAGAATAGCAAGTAACGTCGCCAAACGTAAGAGCTCTATGCCTCAGAAATTTGTTGGTAAGAGTCAAACGTTTGCTGTCTCTTAAAAAAAACTCAACTACGCGGGTGTCTTAGACTCAGATGGTCCTTAGTTGAGAGCAGGAGAGAGACACTATCTCACTTTAAAAAAAAAGAAAGCAAATATCAGCAGGCTTAGCACTTCTTAAATACTTTGGGTTTTTCTAGAATAGGCCTTCTGACACGCAAGGAGTCTTCCTCTCCTGGCAGCTTTTCCTAGAGTGGTCTTACAGCATCCTGGGTGCCCACGAGATCTGCCTGTGGACAACCGTGTGCCTCAGGAGGTGGCCGGGTTTGTGGGCGCAGGGCTGTGAACGTGGGCCCAGCGTGGCCACGAGCTCCCCACATAGCCCGTTCACCTGCTGCCTGAGCAACCTCACTGAGCTGCAGATGCTCCCAGAGCTCATAATACTCCCTGCCCGGGCTACCTTGAATGTGCCTGGGGAAGAGGGGCACAGCCACAATCACTGTTCTCGCTGCAGGATCTTTACCTGTACCAGGGGCTTTGAGGGACACTGGGAGGAGCAAGGTGGCCCTTTCCTGTAAGAGCTCGCTGTCCAGTATAGATGACAGACAAACACAGGCCACCCTGTATGTGCAGGGAGACAGATAGCTATTTAGCTCGGTGTAAAAGTGGAGGTGCCCTGGGCTCAGGGCCCAACTGGAGGGGGTCAGCACACAGCCACATGTTAATGCTGTCACCTGGGTGACATTTCTGGACCTCTCTAAGCCTTGGTTCTGTTCTTATATGCCTCACAGGGCTTTGTGAACTAACATAAAAAAGACATGAAAACATTTAGAAACACTCAGTTTAAAGTTCAACTATTATCAGTAGGATAACGTGGAAAGAGAATCCTGGAGGGGGAAGGGTCATGTCCAGGAAAGAGGACAGGGGAGAAGGGTCATGGTCAGGAAAGAGGACCATACAGGAGGGTCGTGTCCAGGAGAGAGGACCATGGGGTGTAGGTTATGGTCAGGAAAGAGGACAGTGGAGAGGGGTCATAGGAAAGAGGACCATGAGAGGGCTGTGTCCAGGAGAGAGGACCGTCGGGGAGGGTCATGGTCAGGAAAGAGGACAGTGGAGAGGGGTCATGGTCAGGAAAGAGGACCATGAGGGAGGGTCGTGTCCAGAAGAGAGGACCGTGTGGGAGGGTCATGGTCAGGAAAGACAATGATTAGTAAAAGCTTCATGAAGCTGTTAATGACCTTGATGGGGGAATAGGATTTCAGCACACTATTAGTGGAAGGAAAAGACAGGATTCTAAAGAGACATATAAGTACAGGGAAATGGTGGTGCTGATTGTAGGGGCTGGAGTGGGGGCGTGTTTCAGGCTGATTCACGTAGCCTCAGGGAAGCAAGGAAAATAAAGTCACAGTAAAGCTCTGGCCACAGAATCAATGGCCTTTGAACACCACGGTGAGAAATGTCTCCTTAACTCAGGAGGCAGGAAAAAGCACTGGCCACACTGCTTTTGATGGGAGCCACACTATAGAAAACAATACTACAGGTGCCGGAAGGTGACCAGGAAAGAAGAGGGCCAGTGGTGGCAGGGAAGGAGGAGGGAACAGAGCAGAGAGGTCTGGTGATGGGCGTGGGGTCAGGGCAGGGACTGAGCTATGGAAGCCGTGACTCATGGTGGTTCTAGTAGAGGAGGATGCCATTTACAGAAATGATAAAGCCAGTTTCTGGAAATAGTTCTGGTTTTGATCTGCTCATCTTCAAGGGTTTTCTGGGGGTAAAGGCCACATGGGAGCCTGGAAAATGTGTGTTGGGAGAGGATGGGTCTAGAATGAGGTTAATGGTTCATGAGGCCTGGGGTTCTAGAGGACACACGAGACAGCAGAAAGTGGGGAGGACGAAGGAGAGGCCAAGTTCTTGGGGCTGCAGCCTCCCTCTTGCACTTATGCCTCCATTTTGATCAGGTCTGAGAGACTTGTCACAGGTTTTGGGTGGGAGAGTTGGGGAAAGAAGGATTCAGTTTAAAACACTGCAAACCACTGGCTGGAATTGCCCTATGGAGAGTCACCCACATTATGTGAGCTCTTAGGCTGTGAGAATGAGAGAGGCCCTGCCTTTCCTGAGCAGAGGAGGAACAAGGTCCTGAGCACAGAATAGGATGTTGTGATGGGATTTCAGGTCACATGGGGCTAGTGAGAACATGGTGCTCATAGGCAGTATACAGTGGGCGGTGTGGAGTGGGCAGTGTGCACTGGGTGGTATGCAGTGTGTGGTGTGCAGTGGGTGGTGGGCATGGCACAGTGGGCAACGGGTAGCAGGCAGTGGGTGAGGCAGAGGGCAATTGCCAGATAAACAGGAGGAGAGATGGAGCAAAGACCCACTAGCACCCAAGGATTGTCAGTGGTCACTGACCTGGGGAAGCTGACACGACTTCTCTTTCAGGTTGGGAAATTGGAGAAGTCCTGCTGAGGACTTTGTCAATGAACCTTTGAGGTCCGTATTAGCTTTTGGAGACTCCTGTCCTGAACCTGTCCTGCAGCCACTCGGGAGGGGGCCGCAAGTTAGGCACTGTCTTCAGATTGAGGTGCTTCTGTGTTAAAAACAAAACAAAACGAAAACAAACAGATGCTCTAATGGAACCAAGCAAAGGTTAGAAGAAGTCCCCTGGGAGAGGGGAGGCACAGGAGAAGTGTGATGGGAACAGCAGGACAAGGATAGCAGTGTGGACATTGGAACAAGGGCTCAGGAGTGTGTATTCTGTTGGGTGTTTTTCCAAGAATGTGGTGATTGATAAGTTATTTCTGTAATAATGCCTCTTCTATCACCAAATGCCTATAGCTTGTCCTCACGTCAACATGATGGGATTTTAGTCAACCCAAGTCTCTGACTTGTCAAAGATTCTCCATCACTAAAATTTAAAAAGGAAGGAAAGGAGGGAAGGAGAGAGGGAAGAGATAGACCTCTTAGGTCCTTCTAAACTTCCAGATGTTGAGTGTATCCTTTATACAAATTCAGAAAGTGTGTAGGAGAGCAGCTGGTATCCTACATTATCATATATGCGGGCCAGTGGTGACGTAGTTGCAAGAGTTCTTTCAAGAGACCTGGGTTTAGATCTAGCTCCGGCTCTGACTGGCTGGTGACCTTGAGCACATCACTGAACTCAGTGTCCCCATCTATGAAATGAGTGTGATGCCTCCTGCCCAGCATCCTTCCCAGCACCATTCTGAAGATCAGTAGGGACACTGGGTGTGCAACTCCTCTCAACTCAAGGAAGTAACTTAAGAATGTAAGAGGACATGATGTTTCTGTGGAATGTTGCCCACAATGGTCTATCATCTTACTTAATTGATATGTGACCTATGATTAAAATTTCTACATTGCATGTTGGCATGACTGTAAGTATTGATGCTGCCAGCAGCATTCCTCACCATTATAATGAAGATCCTGTTCTCTGAAATAATCAGATAGAGGCCGACAGGATCAACGAAGCCCCTCAGAAAGGGGATGACAATGTTACATCGCAACACTATTCATTGTTTTACTCTGCTTGGTGATTGTGGGGAGGAAGTGTTGTTTCTTGTTGTTGTTATTAGAGAGAGAGCAGGGGAGGGGCAGGGGCAGAGGGAGAGAAGATCTCAAGCAGACTCCACACTGAGCACAGAGCCCAATGCTGGGCTCCATCTCACAACCTGAGATCATGACCTGAGCCAAAATCAAATCAGACTCTATACCCACTGAGCTACCAATGTGCCCTAAGAAAGCTTTTAATGTTTTTTAAGATTGTATTTATTTATTAGAGAGAGAGAGAGCGCACAAGCAGGGAGAGTGCAGAGGGAGAGGGAGAAGCAGACTCCTCACTGAGCAAGGAGCCTGGTGTGGGGCTCGATCCCAGGACCCTGAGATCATGACCTGAGCCAAACTGAGAGAGCTTTTTAAATACAGAAGAGAAGATAGGGGGAAACAATAGTGATTAATATTCCTGCTATCCGTTCTAATTCTCTTGGTATGGTTTCTTTTTTCCAGAAGAAAAACACAACCTTTTCTCATTATTAGAATGATACATGGTTAATATAAAGAATTTTGGTGGAAAGATGAATGTCTTAAAATCACCCCCAAAAAGCCACATCCAGAAATTGCCAATATTGAAAGTAGCTGAGCATTATTCTAAATACCTTTCTATCCATATCATGTATGTGCAGGGCTAGGGTGATGAACAGGTGGGTTGGTGGGTGTGAAATGAATGCTTCTGTAAAGATTCTATCATATTACAGACGCTGTTTCAAAATGAAAGTGTCCCTTCTATAGCTGTCTTAAATTTAAGAGGTGAACAAGAGCCAAATAAAACTGGAAATGTGGCTGATCTTCAACTATTTTCTCACAGAAAGATATTTTTAAAGGATTAAGATTAGAAAGATATACTACATTATGAAAAACATGAAGACCTTCAAATCAGTGTTTTAATCCATTTGTTTCCATTTAGGCAGCATCTACTGACTCGTAGCTTTGGGAAATAAGGACATGATTTTATTCCCCTGTGTTCAGTGTATATTATTTTTACACCATCCTGCTTCCTAATATTCACATTCTATTCTGAAATCCGAATTCTCCCAGGGGCCTAGGTACTTATTGTTGATTCAATATTTAAATAGAGCCAAGGCTCAGATTCAGTCCTTTTACTGGTATTTCTGTCTATTTTTGATTAATCTCTTAATAACATTCAAGCACCTTCTCGAAATGAAGTTCTAGCTCCATGGTGGTTCTGTGTCCAAGGACGTCTACTTATCACCTTTCTGTCTTAACACCATGGTGGCATTGCTTGTTGAATGCTGTGTTCAGATGTCTGAGGCCAATCTGATCATTTTTTTCTGAAAGGTGATTTCCATTTTTTCCTGAATGCTTGAAGGGTTCCTTCTGTAATCTTCAAGTGAATTAGCCTCACTAGGATATGTCTTCGTATTTTATATTCTGAATAAAAATTTCTTGCCACCTTAATCTGCAGAATCCCTTTCTCTCTCTATTTCTGAGAAATTCTCTTCCTCATAGAGACATTTTTTTTGTTCCATCTGTTGTGATCTCTGTCGGGGGTACCAGTTGTCCTTATGTTAGATTATTTGTCTTCCATATCTGTTAGCATTTCCTTAAGTTAATTTTTTTGGTCTTTTTTACATTCATTCACACTTATCTTGTTTTTCCTCCTTGCAAACCATTCCATTTTTAGTAGCTTATGTTCTATTACTTGCCACTTCCAAATCCATGGATTCATCCTGTAATAAAAGTGTTTTGGACCTCATTTTGTTTCCTGAGACCTGACATCTTTTTTCATCCCGTTCTGTTGTCTTAGCATGCTATCTTTTAGTAATTTTTTTTATGGAGTCCATTTCAAAAAATAATTAAGAGTTATCTCCTCTCTTCCTTGAGTTAAGCTCTTTTCCTAGGATGGACTTATTGGTCTGTTTTACTTCCTTTCCTCCCTCGTATCGCTAGAAAATATTTTCACAGTAACCATGACATTTCTTTTCATCTTGCTTATTTTACTTGGGCTGATGTAGCTTGATTGACGTTCAACATTCTTCCCACTGTATGTGAGACATTTTTTTTCCCTGTGAGAGCTATTGACTTTTCTAAATCCTGAAAGAATGCCAAGGATGGAAAGGAGAATTCAGGTGAGGCAAAGTGCAGTCTTTGTTGAAAACCTTTCTCGCTGCTGTCTCTCCCTCATTCTGAGATTTGGCTAGCTGCCCTAAGCCAGTTATCACTGCACCTAGTTGGAGAGGGCTTCCCAGCCCCATGGGAGGACATGACAAGCTTTGGTCCATTTCTCCTTATAGAGGACTTTACTCCTGTCTAAAGAGCCAACCTTGCCGCTCAGCTGTCCAATGCCACCTGGTTCTCTCTAGGAGAGGTTTTCACTGCTTTTTCATCCGAAGTGGAGGAAGACATTTATCTGAATTGGTTTCCTGTACATATGAGGATATTTGGGAGAATGCTGAGAATTTTGTTGCCTCGTACTTAAGGCTTTTAGAAGTTGGGTCAAGAGTCACCCTTCACGGTATGACTCATGCCAGAATTGTCTTGTCTTAGCCCCTCTTTTTTTTTTTTAACTATTCTGTTAGAATGCATTCTTTTGTCTAGTTGATTGCCAAAGTGAGTCGTGTGGGGTTTTATTTTTCTCATTTGTGGAGTATTAGGGAAGAGAAATTCTGTGGATGGTTTCAATAGGCCACAGTAATCTGCAGTATATGGATGTTTTCCTACGTCCATTTTAATGGTTGCTTGGGAAACCAGAGAACCACAATGAGGAGAAGCAGGATAATTAGGTGGGAAAGCATCATTTTTGATGGGGCTGTATAAACACTTTGATATGTATCCAAATCAGCCTTAAAGTCTGTGCCTCATCTTATCCCTACCAGGGTTTGGTAGGAGGGATGGACGGGGCACAAACCTTCTCCTCTGGGGGTAGAGCAACAAGACACTTGGCACCTCAACAAAGAAACAATGAAAATTGTGTGGCTTTAGTAATGCTATCGAATTTCTTCTTTTAACTTTTAATGGAGAGAAACACCACCTCTCTGTTCCCTACCACCCACCTCGTGGCAAGATTCCATCCATTCCGTTCAGTTTCTGCAGAGGGTGTAACTGGCCACTAGCAAAGGTTTCTTTTCTGTAATCTGAGGATCACACTGTTTCACTATCAGTGCATGTGCCCCTCCTGACCACCAATAGATTAGAATGAGTGCAGGCTGGGCTGTTTCATGATAAATCTCCTTTGCAAGCAAGGAATGATACATTATAGTGTGGTGGGGCATATCCCTGGACAATTATCAGTGGTCAGCAATATTTTTCTAGAAGGATTAGTTCATAAGTTTTGAACCACCAGGTAGTTTATCCTCCTGTTGCTAAGAATTAGTGGGAGACCTTGACATCAGGTCTCAGTGTGGGCAGTGGGGGATCCTCCACTGCCATGACCCTCAGCAGCAGCCATTACCTGGACAATTCAAAGAGTCTCTTAGGTTCACTTGCCGTTGCCCCTCCCAGCCTGCTCTTCTGCTGGTTACCGAGAAGGGCACTTCCCTCAAACCCTTCAGGGGCTTCTCATTTTCTCCCTGGATAAAGCCCCTTCTTGGTCTAGCCCTATCGTCTGATGGGGTGGCACCCGGGCTCTGGCCCCATCACCTTCACTCCGTCCCTCCGAAGCTCTAGGCTCCTTCTCTTGTTTTCCCCTGGCTGCTCCCAGTGTGGGACACAAGTCCCACTCATGACAGAAACTCATCTTAGGTCAGAAGCCCATATGACACAAGCCTTCTATTTTCTTCATAGAACTTCTCATCCTGAGAAGGGCTATTTGTACAGCCGTATTTTAATGCCTGCGTCCCCTGTTAGCTGTGTGCCACTAAGGGTGGGGGCCCTTTATACTAGCTCACCTGTCTGTCCCTCCTGTCCCACCTGTCTGGTCCAGGAGACACTCAGTGCTCCATGAATATGTGTTAGAAGAAGAAAAGAAACAGAGTAAGGAGTAAAATGTAAACAATTTGGGCGTGCCTCGGGTGCTTTGCCAGAGCTGCTCTCAGGGTTCACCATTCCCAGGGAGCAAGCTCACCTACAAACCCTGCTCTCAGACCAGAAGTTCCTTGAGGAGGAGGAGAAGCTGGCACACTGAGAGTCCTCAGCCATGGTTCCTTGAGCATCGTTCATGCTCAGGAATTTTTGGAAAGATCAGATGAATGGCACACCTTCTCCGCTTACGTTCCTTGGTTTGCCCCCAGCCTCCCTGCACATACCTCTGTAGTACATGGCTCTGGTGCCACCGGGGATGGAAAGACCAGTGGAACTGGAAGCGGGAAGGGTGTGGACACTGCATCTGAGCACCTTTTTACTCTCAGAGCCCAAAGTCCACTTTTGATAAATCTTATCATAGATCATATATTTTGATTAAATTTTATGCTGAGTATTGAAGTTATGAATTTAAAATTCTATCGTGTAATGCAATTTTATGTATGTCTGTATTTATTTGAGAGAGAGAGAGAGAGATTACAAGCAGGGTGGGAGAGGGAGAGGAAGAGAGAATCTCAGCAGGCTCCACACCCAGCATGGAGCCTAGTGTGGAGCCCTATGTGGGGCTCAATCCCATGACCCTGAGCTCATGACCTGAGCCAAAATCAAGAGTAAGATGTTTAACCGACTGACCACACATGCACCCCTATGTAATGCTATTTTAAATAAGCATATCACGTACTATCGTGAATAATTACATACTTATTTAATTAAATACATTTATGAGAAATCGACCAGTTACTGTAAATTGCTTAGAATGCTATATTGAAAATACATCATTTAATTATTAATCTTAAGTCCGGTATAATAATGTTCGATTATACCGTCCGTAGTAAAAGACACAGGTACTGGCGGAGTATCTAGTTGGAAGTTGTGCTGTTTATAGTGAGAGGCGCTGACTTTGGTTCACAGATTCATTTGTCGGGTCCAATCTGTTGAAGCACAGACTCTGGGAAGGTCCCTGTGTTCGGTGACCACAGGCAGAGATAGCTCGGCCTTCCCATTGGGAGGCGTGGCATGTGTGCCAGAGCACCGGGACACCCCCCTCGGTGCAGACTTCGGCTGTTGCCGTCATGCACGGAGGTAAGCCGGCTTCACTGACTGTCACCTGCCTCCCACAGGGGACAAGTGCCTGTCGGACATGCCCTACGACAGCAGTGCCAGCTACGAGAAAGAGAATGAGATGATGCAGACCCACGTGATGGACCAAGCCATCAACAACGCCATCAGCTACCTGGGGGCTGAGTCCCTGCGCCCGCTGGTGCAGACGCCCCCGGGCAGCTCAGAGGTGGTCCCGGTCATCAGCCCCATGTACCAGCTGCACAAGCCCCACGCGGAGGGCCCCCCGCGGTCCAACCACTCGGCCCAGGACAGCGCCGTGGAGAACCTACTTCTGCTCTCCAAGGCCAAGTCGGTGTCCTCTGAGCGGGAGGCGTCGCCGAGCAACAGCTGCCAAGACTCGACGGACACGGAGAGCAATAATGAGGAGCAGCGGAGCAGCCTCATCTACCTGACCAACCACATCAACCCCCACGCCCGCAACGGCCTGTCCATCAAGGAGGAGCACCCGGCCTACGACGTGCTGCGGGCGGCCTCCGAGAGCAACCAGGACGCCTTCCGGGTCATCGGCACGAGCGGGGAGCCCATGAAGGTTTACAAGTGCGAACACTGCAGGGTGCTCTTCCTGGACCACGTCATGTACACCATCCACATGGGCTGTCACGGCTTCCGTGATCCTTTCGAGTGCAACATGTGTGGCTACCACAGCCAGGACAGGTACGAGTTCTCGTCCCACATCACGCGGGGCGAGCACCGCTTCCACATGAGCTAAGCCCCGCTCTGCCCGTGGGCGCCGCCCGGAGAGAAGCACACGGGCCGGGGCCCCCCATCCAGCCAGCAGCCCGGACTGGACCAGAACGTTGTGCTTTGATCCCTAGGTGGTTTTTCATTTAGTTTTGTATTTTTAAGTCGGTTGGTTGGCTGGGGTTTGATTTGCTTTTGAAAAAGAGGAGTTTTTATTGTTAGATGCAGGGTTACATTTGGAGTACCCCCTCCCCCAAACGGCTGTCTTACTAGATGTGCTCATAGACTGCTAGCCGAAAGCGCCCCCGCCTGTTGCTTCCTAGAAGTCCCATCCTTCAAAGAATTGCTCATTTTCAGAGAAAGTTTTGTAAAAACAGGCCAAAGCCTGGGAAGGAACGAGCTGGTCTCTGTGCTAAGTAAGCATCCACGCACTGATGTGGTTTCCAAGGCCCCAGAGGCAGTGAGCACAGCCCCGGGTCGGGTGCTGCGGGTGAGCAGACCTGGTGGGCGGCCCCAACACAGCAGGGCCGAGAAACCCAGGCCGCAGCCTCTGGCCGCAGGCATCTAGGTCTGCAAGGCCTCAGTTTTTAAAGGAAGATGTTGTGATAAGTCACAACCTGTACAAAAATATGCGGTTGGGACAAAGACACACGCGCTCACCCAGCAAAGGGAGTGGGGAGGTCGCTCAGCCTCCTACGGCCTGCCGGGAGGGGAAGGGCCCGGACGCCACAGTCCCGGGGGCCAATCTGGAGCCCTGTGCCCTCTGCCCTCAGGCCCGTGCCTCTCGTGGCCCAGAGTCTAGCACTACATTTTTAACATCTATCCTGGAACGTGGACCTTCATTCCTTTGAACCCCTCAGAAACCAAGCTCTACTCCAGATTCCACGCTCCTTCCTTCCCCGGCTGGTTCCGCCCACAGCCAGAAGCCGGTTTTCCCTCCCGGTCCCAGGCCAGACCCCATTTCCACGACATCATTGCTTGTTGACTGGTGAATTTCTCTCCCCGCCTTCCTGCTACATTATTCTTGTTTTAAAGTCCCTAAAAGAAGGACGTAGGGTGATCGTTCATTTTCAGAGCAAGGAGCTACGACAAGTGATGCCCAGGAGATGTGGCTAACCTGCCGAGAGCCTACCTGTTAGAAACTAAATGTTGAAAGAGTCTGACACCGGGGCACCTGGTGCCTCAGTGGTTGAGTGTCTGCCTTCAGCTCAGGTCATGATCCCAGGTCCGGGGATCGAGTCCCACATCGGGCTCCCCACAGGGAGCCTGCTTCTCACTCTGCCTGTGTCTCTGCCTCTCTCTGTGTGTCGCTCATGAATAAATAAATAAAATCTGCAAAAAAAAAAAAAAAAAAAAAAAGAAGGAAAAAAAAAGTCTGAAACTCTCCCGGAAGGACAGAGCCGCCCCCGTGTGCCCACCTAGAGCATCCTTTCTCTCTGGGAGCCTGGAACGTGCAGAGCGACCGTGTACCCTGCAGGCAAGGTCAGATAGGAAAGAGGAAGAGGCGGGTGCCGGGGGTAGAACTTTCCTCAGCCATGACATCGGGAGCCCCGCCAAGGTGTTTGGTGTCTCCAGCCCCCACTTGGGAGGGGTAGACCTCAGGGTTCATCCCACTATTAAACATAATAATGCCATCCACCCAGGCAGGTAAGAGCATACAATTTCAAATGTTTACACGTCTTTGCCAAAACTGAACCAAGGTGAACGTAAAAACAAACAAAAACCCAGAAGAAAAAGTGCCCATGGGTACCCCCGCACCTACTCTAAATCTGGGCTTCTTGGTCACGGTGCTCTTGACCTTTGGGGCTGGATATTCCTCTGGGGTGAGGGATTCCCTTGTGCACTGCAGGAGATGTAGCGTCATCCCTGGTCCCGGCCCAATAGACGCCAGTAGCACCTTCATTCGACGCCTAAAAATCTCTCCAGGTGTCACCAAACATCCCCACGGAGTAAATCATCCCAAGTCAAGAACCGCTGCTCGACCTCTGAACCAGGCGGAAGGCCCGGGAAGCCTTCCAGAGGAAAGAAGCCCTGGAAGGTTGTCCCCGCCAGGAGTCCCGCCCTGACCCCTGGTGCCTCCGTGTCCACCGCAAGTCCTATAAATGAATGGGTCCCTTTCATTCTCCGGAAGCAACTCTTTCCACGTGCGAGTGAGTAGCGTTGCAAGGGTGGATCCACACCTGCCGTTCTTGAGCGGCGGGTTCTTTTGCTCACGGAACCGTGTGGAGCATTGAAGCTGCAAACGAACCGGATCGTGGTGTGTGGGACCCTGGCACGTGGACGGCGGAGTCGGGTGGAGACCCCTGCGGACCCTGCGGACCCCTGGGCTGTGCAGCCGGTCACTCAGGAGGCCACGGTCCATCCGTCCATCCATGGGATCGCGCCCATAGCCGGGCCCCCCTGATGTCCCGTGGGCCGGCACCTGCACCCACCTGCCCTCTGCCGTGCACCCCACAGAGCCGGTTGGTTGAAAGGAGTCACTCCGCCGCCCCGAGGCTTCGAGCGAAGCCTGCCCACAACTGTAAATAGCGGCCACGGACGGTCTTCCCGAACACGCTGCCCCCGCGGCCTTTGCGACCATCTGTGTACTCGCCTTTCCTTGTGGTTTTATACTGCAGCGCCCAATTTGCTTTGAGATGACTGTGTAAGGCAGCGCCCCACGGAAAGGCAAGGAGTGCTTACAGTCCGTCCGAAGGGGGTCCCGTTCTGGACCGAAAGCTGTTGACGTTTGTCCCCTAGCTGGTTAAAGCGCGCGTCCGCGTGACCTCACCCTCTTTGTACTGCGGTCTGTGCGGTGGTCCGAGAACGTGTGTCTTGGGAGCCGCTGCGCCCAGGCGTCGTGAACTCGAATTTAAAACGAACACCAGAGACCGGAGGGCCGCGAGGAGCGGGGGCACGTGTCCACCACGACGAGAAATCGCTGGCCCTCCGCCCCCGCGGGGCCATCCCGGAGCGTCCCCCGACGCAAGGCCCGCGCACCTGCCCCTCACCCAGGTCTCCTCTGCGACGTGCCCCCGAGAGCACGGTCTGTCCTACTGGAAGAGTCGCTCAGCAGACGCGCGCCACCGTTCACTCACTCCCTTGTCGCCAAAGGGCTGACCCAGCACCAGTCACCTCGGAGACCAGCACGTTCCACTCCCAGTTGAGAATCCACCAGGTAAAGAAATCTCAGAATCGTCATTGCAAAAGGAAGCTACTGCTAACGGAGATGTGAGTTTGTTTGTGTCTTTTTTTTGGGGGGGGGGGCGGGGGATTTCTTTTTATTTTTTATTTTTTTATTTTCTTGCATTGCTTTGAGGACCATGTAGCCCTTATAGTGTCGTGTTCCGACCGAAACAGAAGCGGGGATCCGATGGACTTGCATAGACAAATCATGAAGCAAATGTGTTTCTCCATAGCTGCCTGCACTTCTGGAGTTTCAGCAATAAGGAAGGGTCAGCTCTACTTCAACTCCAGATAGCTTTCATTCAGTCCAGTGTCCTGTTTTTGTTTTCGTTTTTAATTTTAAAGTGAACCAAAATCAGATCTATTTAAGATGTACAGCCATGAGAAGAAAGAAGCACATCCACCTGTCGGTATGGTCTATGGTCGCATTCACTGTGAACAGATGTAACCAGAGATTAATATGCAATATTGTTTCAAATACTTTCTAATACACTTTTTTACGATGTTGTCTGTGGGGATTGTCAAGGTACAATTTGCTCGTATCTGGTGCAGCTTTAGGTCTTTGTCTGCCATTCTGGAAAATACGTGTACAGGATTGTAAATGAGAAAATGCACTTGTATTTCCCATCCGCCTCTCTGATGATGTTAAATTATTTCTGTTTAGCTGTGAACGAGGGGGGTACCCCTGGAGGAATAGAGGATCCTTTTGTACACATCTTGAACTGCTTCTTCTGTAGAGATAGAACAAATAAATGCAACAAATCCTTTGTCCCATCCTGTGACGTCCGGGCTCCTGTGGCGCCGCCACCTGCTGCAGACCGCTCCTGGCCAGCGGAGGTGGGTGGGCCTCGGGGGGAACAAGCCCTCACGAGCATCCAGCATCGGATGAGCTTGCTGCACGCCGGAGCCCCCCGAGCACAGCGGCGCCGGGCTTGGGCTGCTGAGTCTTGGCCTTCGGCTTCAGAATGTGGATTTGAGGCAGGTGGAGGTGGGGGGCGACCATCAGTGTGCCCCACGCTCTCCAGCGCCCGCTGCCTAAGTCCACGGTCGTGGGGGCACAGGAGGCAGTGGCTGACCACAGCGACCGGTCGCGGTCCTGGTCCTGCAGAGCTGATGCCGAGGCCACGGCCGGGCGGCGCCGGGAGGCTCACCTGCCCCGTGGAGGGAGAGCCAGGCAGCACGGGCTCCGCGCCTCGCAGGGCCGAGGGGGGCAACTAGGCCGCGGGTAGGACGTCCCATCCGCACAAGGTGAGGCTCTGCTGAAACACAGAGGCCGGGCACTTCCCATCAGGCCCTGTCACCTGTTCCCCAGGGACACTCTCAAGGGCAGCCCTTGACCTGCAGCGTCTCCTGGGGGAGCGTCCGGCCTCTGTAGCTGAGCAAACCGAGAGCACGTTGCCTGCCCTGAAGGGACGTGGCGCCCGGTAGAGTGGGCTCCGCCGCCTGACCCCGGGCCCGCACGGCTGGGCGAGTGCAGCCCCTGACCGCGAGGCTGTCTGCCCCTACCCGGGAGAAGTGCACCCAGCCTCGGGGCAGGGGAGCCCTGGGAAGGACCAGTCGGCTGGGGAGCGAGGAGCGTGTCTGCGTGCGCCTTGCACGCACGTCCTCATGCACCCGGTAGGTAGAACTGGGAGGAATCCAGAGGGAAAGCGTCGCTGGCACGAATCCCTCGCAGGCCTCCCCGCTCTCGGTGGCACACACTGGAGGCTCATCCTGGAGCCCCAGAGGCGGCCAGTGGGTGAGGGCCAGCTTCCAAATCGCGACTCCAGGAGCCCGTGGTGGGATGAGAGACTCCACGTCGGGGTTCATCACAGGAATGATTATTCTCAGCACATCTTCCGACACTGAACCTTTGGGGTCCACGTGCCTTCCCCGGTCCCTGCGTGCTGTGACTCAGTGGTGCATCCACTCCGTGGGCTCAAAGGGGGCGTTCCACCCTGGGGAGGCTGACCCGGAAGGGGTGCCCCCTTTGTGGGATGGCAGTGAGGGTGCCTGGTGGCCTCCGGGAGGACGGCACCAGATTCCAGGAGGGATGCAGCAAGGTGTGGGGAGCACGCAGCAGGTGCAGAGGACCCAGAAGAGGCTGACTGTCCCCAGCCACCTGGGCACCGCCTGGGTACCCCCACCCTCCCCAGGGCTGCTCCTGAGGTTTCCTGCATTTGATCATTCCCGCCGAACCGCTGCTCTTGAGCACTTTACTTCTGTTCCTGATGAGTGCCATAGATTTAGAAATCACACTAAGATAGATGAAGATGATAGACAGATAGATAGATGATAGATAGATAGATAGATGATAGATAGAATATATCTGTATATAAATAAATAAATCTCTCTCTATATATATGTTTTATATAATATAAAGATTTTATTTATTTGAGAGAGAGAGTGTGAGCAGGGGAGCAGGGACAATGCGGGACTCGGTTCCAGGACCCCAGGATCATGACCTGAGTAGAAAGCAGATGCTTAACTAAACGAGTCACCCAGGCGCCCCTAAAAGTCACACTATATTTTAAATGTTAGTGTGAAATTGGGGGAGCTAAAGATCAGGATTGCAGGTGCAGAGACCAAAGAGCCCCAATCCCGTTGCCAATCAATTAGTCATATTTTCAGTCAAAACCAAAAGCCTTGGAGGCTCTGTGAGTCCCTGGTGAAAGCGTGCACAGTCATCAGAACCCACGCATTTCTCCAGGAACAGGATCCCTTCGGCAGTTTCTAAAAGTCCTGTGCTCTCCTTGCACGGCTCCTCCACCCCCAGCACAGAGCAAAGCGCTCGAGGAATCCTGAGGAATCCTGGGAACCCGGCGACTGGTCCAGGCCTGGCGGCGAGGGTGGGGTGCCTTCCGCTGCAGGCCGGGTCTGCTCACTGTGTTTGGGTTTGCTCTGCCCCAGATCTGCAGCCACAGGAGCCCCTCCCTAACTCCCCTTCCCCTGGGGACCCCCCAAGCATCACTGCTCTAGGCGCTCCATGGGGGTGGCACATGCCTTCCCCCAAACACCGCCCCCTCCAGCCCTCTCACAGGAGCAAACGGAGCCCCTTGGCTCAGTCATGGCTCACAGCCAGGCTCCTGTCCTCCCTCTGGTCCTTCCTGCCCTGAATCCAAATCCCCAGTCCCCACCTGCCCCAGGACGCTTGTGCCAATGCTTCCAAACCCTGGTTCTCTGAATGCAGCTCCCAATCAGCTGGGTGGTCGTTAAAAGTGCAGCTTCTGGAGGCCCGCGCCTGACCATCCTGGAGCTGGAGGGCTGCATGGAGCCCACCCAGCAGGCCTGGGACCCGCGAAGCCGTGTCCTCATCCTGTTTCTCCCCACACAGTTTGCAGATTAACCTTCTTCCTCTGCCCAAACTTTTTTCCTTTTTCTTTTCTTTATTTTTTTTTGAGGGAGGAAGAACAATCAATGACTCTCTCTTCCCCCTCTTGAGTCTGAAACAACTGACAGACAAGGGAATCAGAGAATGGAAAACCAAAATAAATTGCTACGTTACCCATAAAGCCTAGATTGGAGGACACAGCCTAGTGAGCGGCCACCACAGGCTCAACAGGCCCTTGGCCTGCAGCAGAGCAGCGTGCTCCCTGGATGCGGGCAGCACCTCCGGCCGCACACCCCCAGAAACACTGAGCCCCAGTGGGGACACGGGATGGGCCACCCAGCAGGCCGCACGCCGCAGCAGAGCTAAAGGAAACATGCTCAGCTCCTGCCTCCAGGAGACTGTGAAGAGGTGACCATGCAGGCGACAGGGAGCCCCTGGAGCTTGGAGGGGAGATGCAGTGGGAGGCAGGGAGGACCCAGCGGTCATGCGGCAGGGGTCTAGCTGCTGACCTTGGCCGGGGAGTCCAGCGGAGACGGAAGCAAAGAGGTGAGGCCTCGGGTTCTTGCCACTAGAAGGAGATTTCCATGAACAGGGGGCTTTGGGATTTTTTTTAAAAAAAGATTTATTTTTTTATTTGAGAAAGGGGGGCGGGCAGAGGGAGAGGGGGAGTCCTGGAGCAGACTCCCCACTGAGCAGAGAGCCTGATGTGGGGCTGGATCCAGAACCCCGAGGTCATGACCCGAGCTGAAATCAAGAGTCAGGGGATTAACCGACTGAGTCCCCCAGGGCCCCTGGGATTTCATTTTTTTAAATATTTTATTTATTTATTCATGAGAGACCCAGAGAGAGAGAGAGAGGCAGAGATCCAGGCAGAGGGAGAAGCAGGCTCCATGCAGGGAGGCCAACGTGGGACTCTATCCCGGGACCCCGGGGTCACACCCTGGGCTGAAGGCAGATGCTCAACCGCTGAGCCCCCCGGAGGTCCCTTTTCTTTTTTTTTAATGTACTAACTGCCACGTCCTTGGTGTCAGCAGGACACGGACCACCCTCGGTGCCTGCCCTGGCCTGAGTCTTTGTGTTCCCTCTAAGCCATGCGTGGAAATCTCAGCAACCTTCAGGAGTGGGACCAGTGCCTCCCGAAAGGGGCCCCAGAGAGATCCTAGTCCTCGAGGATCCAGGGCAAAGCCGTGACCCCAAAAGAGGGTCCTCAGGCCAAGCCTGGCCTCACATGTGCAGCTTCCAGAGCCAGGAAGTGGTGCGCAGCGAGTGCAGTAGCAGCCATGGCCACAGCAACCGGGGTGGGACCATCTCCTGGGGCTCCCCGCCGTTGCCCCTCGAGGCACTAATGGTCTCAGAGCCCAGACGAGCCTTTGGACCACAGAGCCCAGAGAGGCCGGAGAGGTTGGGGTGCACCGAAGCCAACGGGCGGCAGGAATAGGTGAGCAGGTCTGAGCCCTGCACGGCCCCAGCATGCGATGGCCGACTCTAAGGAAAGTGACAGGTGAGCCACCTGCCCAGGGAGGGGGTGGCGGGGGTGGGTGCTGAGACCTGGGCCCCGAGAGGCAAGCCAGCTGTGAGCAGCACCCGGACCTTCTCTGTGCAGAGACCAGGCCACCACCAGGTCCGGGCAGCGGCGACAACGGGCCAGAGGAAAAGCCGCAGGCTGGGGGTCCGGGCACTCCCGGGGACCCTGGGGGAGCCCCTAACCCAGGGCTGGGGGCCATAGCTTGGACCCGCCACTTGCGAGGTGCCGGGGTCTGGGCAGCACTTCCCTTGGGGGCAGGCTCAGACCTCGTGGGACGTCCCCTTGCTCTGTTCGCCCCTCGGCCAGGCCGAGGTCAGCGGCGAGGCGGACACCGTGCGCTGGGCCCCTGGCTGCCGTCCCCCCACCCCGGCAGCAGCTGGGCTGCGGCCACCCGGTGAGTCGGCACCACGGGAAGCAGATGCAGCCCCCGAGGTCCCTGTGCACAACTGGGAACCAGCCGGTTGGGGAGGAAATTTGCATAACAGGGATAATTTGGTACCAAAACTGTCCCCTCAAGTGAACTGCATGGATCTCGGTACAGCTAACAAATTTCACTTCTTCTTTCCCATGTTTTGTCAAACCAACTAGATGTGACATTGAGCGTGTGAATTGTCCCGAGATGTCCTGTCTGTCCCTTCAGGGGTCAGCCCCAGGCCTCCCTGCCGCGCTGCCCGTCCCTGGGCTGCCCGCGCGAGGGGCCTCTCCCTGCGTCCCCCGGGCTCACGCACCCAGGCCCATGCCCAGCAGGAGGGGCCCAGGCTCTCCAGAGGCCTGCTGGCCCCGACCCTGCGGTGGCATCACCTCCGGGGCATCTCAGCCCGCCCGGCACCTGTGGCAGCTTCCTCATCACATCTCCCTCCCTCTTCCTGTGGGCGAGGGCGGGCTGGGCCCCACAGCAAGGAG